TCCTCCTCCTCCTCCTCCTCCTCCTCCTCCTCCTCCTCCTCCTCCTCCTCCTCCTCCTCCTCTTGTTCTCCACGCGCACCCCGCCCGTGGGCACGCGCCGCTTCGGGCACGCAAACGCAGAGCCGGGCCGTAGACATCCACGGGCGCGTCGCGCACGCGGCTGTTCTGGTTGGGCATGGCCACGCTGACCTGCGAGGTGTTGTCCTCCTCCCTCCTCCGCCGCCACTGCCACCTCCGCCGTCGCCGCCTCCACATCCTCTGTCCTCCCCACCGACGACGTCTCGTTCCGCTCCTTCTGGTGCCGCACCTGCTGCCTCTCGCGTTCGGCCGGCCCTGCATGAGGCTGTCGCCTCCCCCCTGTCCTTCTCCGCTTGCCGCTCGTGCCGCTTCATCCCGCCGCCGCCGCCCAGTGCTGCGTTCGCTCCTTCTCCCTCCCGCCCCCCGATTTGCCTTCGCCAGGCAAGGGAGGAGGAGGAGGAGGAGGAGGAGGAGGAGGAGGAGGAGGAAGACTTGGTTACTCTGTGCCCTCGTGGGCCCCTCGAAATATCCTGCACGCTCGACACCTCGTTTCCCGCACGTGCTTTCTGCCTGATGTGTAGACATGCGCCCAAGTCGGTGTCTTTACGCAGTTTGCCACCTTCTTACAACACAGAAACGCAACAGCCTCGACGCCCATGTCTGCCGAACGAAGAATGCAGAGGAGAAGGAGGAGGAGGAGGAGGAGCAAGTGAGCGAGCGAGCGGGCGTCCATCAGGCACTACTGGTCGTAGAGCCGCGCCCTTTTTGGCGGGAGGAGGGGGGAGGACGAGCAAGAGCGGCGCTCCCCATGCTCCGCCCAAATCCTCTCGCCCGCCGCCTCCCGCTGCCTGCCGTCTCTCTGGCTTCCTCGCGCCGTGTGCACCGGCTGCTCTGGCGTGCGGCACTCTCTCTTTTTGTTTTCTCTCTCTCTCTCTTTCTCTGTTCTATCTCTCCCTCTCTCGCTCTCTCTCTCTCTCTCTCTCTCTCTCTTTCTCTCTCTCTCTCTCTCTCTCCCTGACTACCTACCAGACCACCCAGCCCAACCCTAAGACCCAAAGTTCGGGTTGGGCGGGGTACGGGTTCCACATCAGCTTTTTCAATGTTCCCCGACGCCCTCCCCCCCCCGGGAATGGAGGGCACCTTGGGGCATTGGTGGGTGGTGACTCTCTCTCTCTCTCTCTCTCTCTCTCCCAGCAGACCAAAGGGGGCGTGTGCCGTGGAATTGACAGCGCATGACACAGGAGGAGGAGGCGGGGAGAAGAGGCAAGGAGAAAATTGGCCCAAAGGGAGGACCTGGGCAGGCAGTAGCTGCGGCGATGTGGCTCTCTCTCCCACTTTTGAGCCTCATTATCGTTCTGCCTCTCTATCTATCTCTTTCGGTTTCATCATCGACTGTGACCCACGCGCCGCGGAGCGAGCGCTCGCCGACGGAAAAGGGTGTGCGTGCGTACATGCGCGTGCATGTGCGTGCGTCTTCCTCGTTATGCTCTGCCTCTTCCTCCTCCTCATCATTATCCTCATCCTTCCCTTACTGCGTCTCCTCGTCCTCCCAAAACTACCCTGCACCAACTACGCATCGACCGCCAACGGTCATATCCTCATCTTCCTCATCCTCTTCATGATCCTCCTCTCCTCCTATAATCATGACCGCCAGCACCACCATCACCAGCGCCACCACCACCACAATCATCAGCATCACGATCTGATCCTCCACCATCATTGCCTTCGATCTCCCAATCGCCCACCCCATCCTCGTTATTATCCTCCTCATCATAGTCATCATCAGCATCAGCATCATCATCAACAACAAGAACAACAACAACAACAACAACAAGAACAATACCAACAATAACAACATCATCAGCATCAGCATCACCATCATCATCACCATCATCAGCATCAGCATCGTCATTATCAGCAGCATCATCGTCATTAGCATCATCATCATGAGCAGCATCATCATCATCATCATCATCATCATCAGCATCAGCATCGTCATCATCAACATCATCATCCTCATCATCATCACCACCAAAACCATCCTCATCTTCCTCAGCAGCAGCACAACCATCATCGCCACAACCACGATTGCCATCACCAGCAGCATCGAAATTGTGACTATCATTCAAACCATCGTCATACTGAGAATCGTCACAGTCATCATCAGAAAAACAACGTCGTCATCAGCACCAGCATCAACATCAGCATCATCAGCAGCAGCAGCATCATCAACATCACCACCACAACCACAACCACAACCGCCACCACCACAACCAACATCATCATCATCATCATCATCATCAGCATCATCAGCATCGTCATCATCATCAGCATCATCATCATCATCATCACCACCGTCACCGTCATCGTCGTCATGATCATCATCAGCAGCAGCATCATCATCCTTACCTATACATCATCATCAGCAGCATCATCCACATCATCATCCTTAGAATCGTCAGCATCATCACCCTCACCTATACATCAACATCATGAGCAGCATCATCATCAGCATCAGCATCATCATAAGCATCATCATCATCATCACCACCATCACCATCATCACCAGCATCAGCATCACCATCATCATCAACATCACCCTCAACATCATCCTTGTCATCGTCGCCATCCTTATCATCGTCGTCATCGTCATCGTCATCGTACCGCGTCGTTTCATGTTCCCCCCTCCTGGCGGGCGCGGCGCGCCAAGCAGGCCAGCTCCACTGGCTTCTCCATGGGCGAATAACCACTGTGCCAGTCGTGCCGGAAGACCTCGTGGGACGGGGGGAGGCGCGGAAAGATGCTTGGACCCTGCGGCATTCGTCCTCCTCCTCCTCCTCCTCCTTCTCCTCCTCGAGGTCGTCGAGGTTCGAAAAACTGTTTCCGCCATTTTCGGTATCTATGTTCGTTTCGGGCCCCAGCCCCGGAGCCCGGCGGACCCCCTGAGGAACTCGTCGGAAGGGGGTCTGGGCCTCCCCAGAGCCCTCCTCCTCCTCATTCTCCTCCTCCTCCCTCTCCTACCTGTTGCAGTGGACGCTCTGAGAAGGGATTCCCGAAGCCGGCCTCAAGAGACCCCAAAGGATGTCCCAGGCACCTCGAGGACGGCCTTGAGGCCTGCGAGAGCACTCCAAGGGGGGCCCAGCATGCAAACTTGAGGGACCCACGAACCCGGTAAAGAACGCGAACCGAACTTTCTCTGACACGCGTGCTATAGTATCCCTGCGCCCGACTGCCACCACTACCTCCAGTTGTTCCTCCCCATCTTCACGCCTTCTGTCCCTTTCTGCCTCCCAACCGCCTTCCTCCCCTCCTTCGTCGAGAGGCCTTTACCTGCAAGCTCGCCAGAGGGGGGCCTGTCACCTCTTAGCTCGAGAATTGGTGGCATGTCCCACAGTGCGCGCTAAACGGTGAGAGGCCCAGCCAGACGAGTGAAGAGGTGGCAACAAAATACAACTTTTCATTAGGAGCGTATCCCAGTGGGTGCCACATCCCAGGGGTCTAGACAGGGCTCCACATGAAGGATGCAGCGTCGAAGCTGGCCCAAGAATCAAACAAGGCCCCCGATAGCATCATCATCATCATCATCTTCATCATCATCATCATCATCATCATCATCATCATCATCATCATCATCATCATCATCATCATCATCATCATCATCATCATCATCATCATCATCATCACATCATCATCATCATCATCATCATCATCATCATCATCATCATCATCATCATCATCATCATCATCATCATCATCATCATCATCGGCATCATCATCACCCTCATCATCCTCATCATCCTCATCACCCTCATCCTCATCCTCATCATCATCATCATCATCATCCTCATCCTCCTCCTCATCCTCATCCTCCTCTTCCTCATCATCAGCAGCGGCAACAGCAGCAGCAGCTGAAGTATGACTTTCACACATAGCAGCGAATGAACATCAAGAACAATCTCACCATCGTACACGACAACGCCTGCCACCTAAGAGCTCGCCCGGCCAGACTTGACACCTGTTATCTCGCAAGTTGTTGGAAGGTCCCGCCGTCGTCATCATCATCATCATCATCAGCAGCAGCATCATCAGCATCATTATCATCAGCATCATCATCGTCATCAGCAGCATCATCATCATCATCAGCAGCAGCATCATCAGCATCATCAGCATCAGCATCGTCATCAGCAGCATCATCAACAACAACATCATCATCTTCATCAGCATCATCATCGTCATCACCATCACCAGCATCAGCATCAACATCATCATGAGCAACATCGTCACCATCATCATCGCCATCACCGTCACCATCACCATCACCGTCACCATCACCATCGCCTGCCACCTAAGAGCTCGCCCAGCCAGGCTTGACATCTGTTATCTCGCACGTTGTTGGAGGGTCCCGCCGTCATCATCATCATCAGCAGGAGCAGCATCATCAGCATCATCAGCATCATCATCAGCATCATCGTCATCAGCAGCAGCATCACCATCATCAACAACATCATCATCAGCATAATCATCATCAGCATCAGCATCAACAGCATCATGAGCAGCATCGTCACCTTTACCATCACCGTCACCATCACCATCACCATCACCATCATCATCATCATCATCATCATCAGCATCAGCATCATCAACATTCTCATCATCATCATCATCATCATCGGCAGCAGCAGCAAAAGCAGCACCATGATCACCGTCGCCATCACCATCATCATCCTCATCATCAGCATCACCATCATCATCAGCAACAGCATCATCATCCTGCTTATCACCATCGTCATCGTCATCGTCGTAACCGTCATCATCATCAGCAGCATCATCAGCAGCAGCATCATCCTTACCATTATCTACATTACCACCATCATCATCACCATCATCATCATCAGCATCACCATCTCATCATCATGATAAGCATTGCCAGAATCAGCATAATCAGCGGCAGCGTCATCCTCACGAGTGTGATCAGCATTAACATCAGCCTCATCGTAATCCTTATCATCATAATCATGAATGTTACCAGTGGCGTCAGCGAGAGCATGATCATCATCACCAGCATCATCAGCATCGTCAGCATCATCACCATGATCAGCATCCTCATCATCATCACTATCGACATCATCATCATAACCAGCAGCATCATCATCATCAGCAGCATCAGTATCAACATACCTTGCATCTTCAGCGTTATCTGCAGTGGCATCATCATTACTAATATTATCGTCGTCGTCGTTATCGTCGGCGTCATCATCATCACCATCATCACCATCTGCATCGTAGTCGTCAGCACCATCAGCAGCACAGCCACCGTCAACATAAGTATCACCAGCATGCTCGGCGGAGCCTGCCACCTGTTAGCCCGCCCTGCTTGGCGTGTCACTTGTTCACTCACGTGTTGGCGGCAGGTCCCTCCGTCATCATCAACATCATCGTCGTCATCATCATCATCAACACCAGGAACATCATCATCATCATCATCATTACCATCCTCAGCATCAGCATCATCACCCTTGGTCCTCAGTCGTCGTCATCATCGTCATCGCGAAGGTCATCATAATCAGCACAGCCATCACCATTCGCAATACAACCATTATTATCATACACATCACAGTGATTCACGGCAGCGCCTATCACCTGAGAACTCGCTCGGACGGGCCTGACACCTGTTAGCTCGCACACTGATGGCAGGTCCCGCCGCCACCACCACCATCATCACCATCATCAGCATGCTCGTCATCAGCATCCTCATCACCCTCATCATCATGATCACCATCAGCAGCATATCCATCAATTACTCCGACGGAAAGACCCCACATGAAAATCCGTTCGGCCAATCTGGAAATAACCTTCACTGTCGTCCTCGCGATTAGTTAGTGAGGCGCCCTTATTGTCTTCCCTGCGTCATTCTCACTCTCGCCCTGGCGCAGTGCCCTCACCCGCTCCCCGCGTTGCCCGTGCCTCGCCCTCCTGCTGTTTGGCTCGCCACCCAGTTCGCTCACAGACGAGGCCTCAGAGGTCCAAAAGTGACGACAGTGAAAGGTGCGAGGATGACCCGCTCAGATTTCCAACGTGGAATGCGGGCCCCATAGGGAGAGGGCTCCCGCCTGAGACTTCCTCGCAATTCACTCACAGACGAGCCTCCCGCCTGATACCTCCCCAATATTCAAGCCTCAGGAGCCCAAAAGTGAAGACAGTTACAGGTTCGAGGACGACCCTCTCTGTTTAAAAACATGAAATGCGGGCCTCATCATAGGGAGAGGGGCCCCCGCCTGAGACTTCCTTACAATTCACTCACAGACGAGGCTCACACCTGATACTTCCTCATATTCAGGCCTCAGGAGCCCAAAAGTGACGACGGTTACAACCTTGAAATATCCTGGCGATGGACCCAACCATATGCAGTTACGAGTACCGCAAAGCAGGTTGAACGAATGAGAGGGAACTCCCTAAGGAGCCACGAAACGTGTGGGAGGTGTGCCGAAATGGGTGCGGTGCCGGCATGCGAACGCAACCACTGGGGCCCTCGGTGGAGCCCCCTATGGGGCCACGAACCGTGTGAGGGGAGTGCCGAAATTGGTGCGGTGCCGCCATGCGAACGCAGCCACTGGGGCCTTCGGTGGAGCTCCCTATGGGGCCACGAAACGTGTGAGGGGTGTGCCGAAATGGGCGCGGTGCCGCCATGCGGACGCAGCCACTGGGGCCCTCGGTGGAGCTCCCTATGGGGCCAAGAAACGTGTGAGGGGTGTCCCGAAATGGGCGCGGTGCCGCCATGCGAACGCAGCCACTGGAGCCCTCGGTGGAGCTCCCTATGGGGCCACGAAACGTGTGAGGGGTGTGCCGAAATGGGCGCGGTGCCGCCATGCGAACGCAGCCATTGGAGCCCTGTGCCGGGGCAACGAAACGTGTGAGGGGTGCGAAATGGGTGCGGTGCCGCAATGCGAACGCAGCCACTGGGGCCCTCGGTGGAGCTCCCTATGGGGCCACGAACCGGGTGAGGGGTGTGCCGAAATGGGCGCGGTGCCGCCATGCGAACGCAGCCACTGGAGCCCTCGGTGGGGCTCCCTATGGGGCCACGAAACGTGTGAGGGGTGTGCCGAAATGGGTGCGGTGCCGCCATGCGAACGCAGCCACGGGGGCCCTCGGTGGAGCTCCCTCAGGGGCCACGAAACGTGTGAGGGGTGTGCCGAAATGGGCGCGGTGCCGCCATGCGAACGCAGCCACTGGGGCCTTCGGAAGAGCTTCCTATGGGGCCACGAAACGTGTGAGGGGTGTGACGAAGTTGGTGCGGTGCCGCCATGCGAACGCAGCCATTGGGGCCCTCGGTGGAGCTCCCTATGGGGCCACGAGGGGTGTGCCGAAATGGGTGCGGTGCCGCCATGCGAACGCAGCCACTGGGGCCCTCGGTGGAGTTCCCTATGGGGCCACGAAACGTGTGAGGGGTGTGCCGGTGCGGTGCCGCCATGCGAACGCAACCATTGGGGCCTTCGGTGGAGCTCCCTATGCGGCCACAAAACGTGTGAGGGGTGTGCCGAAATGGGCGCGGTGCCGCCATGCGAACGCAGCCACTGGAGCCCTCGGTGGAGCTCCCTATGGGGCCACGAAGCGTGTGAGGGGTGTGACGAAATGAGCGCGGTGCCGCCATGCGAACGCAGCCATTGGGGCCTTCGGTGGAGCTCCCTGTGGGGCCACGAAACGTGTGAGGGGTGTGCCGAAATGGGTGCGGTGCCGCCATGCGAACGCAGCCACTGGGGCCTTCGGTGGAGCTCCCTATGGGGCCACGAAGCGTGTGAGGGGTGTGCCGAGATGGGCGCGGTGCCGCCATG